CCCCAAAACCCCAAAACCCCAAAACCCCAAACTAGGTCTGAGGGTCTAATAATATCAAGACTTAATATTAACTTAGAGAATAATTTAGCAAATTTTTCTGACTTAAGTAGAAAACATATTTTTCGAATTACTATTTTCCTGATTAAATGCTTGAACTCATGAGGGATTCAGTGCCCCATCTCTTTGCTTAATGTTTAATATCTGAGTTTAAAGAGTTACTGTTTTGTTAAGAGGCTCATAAGTTGTTTTAAACGATGATAGTTAGTAGAATGGCTTATTAATTTGATGAGAATTTATTTGTTAATCTTAGCCAAAAAAATTATAGATTTAGACTCTAGTCATCCTTTTGTAAAATCTTTAACTCTCTCTTCTGACTAGGTAGAAGATGAGCCTTCTTCTGGTTAAACCTCATTGTGGTCTCCTGAAGACAATTCTGACTCAATTCTGGCTTTGCATATGCAAGTGAATTTTTACATGCATTCATTGAGGAGGTTCGTATCCTAAACAAAAATGAGCAGGAGACTTACATTTCATTATTCTCAATAGGAGGATCTACATCGTCTTCTGGGAACCAACTCGGCTTTCTCCTTTTCTTCAATATTCTTCTTTTCTTCTTGCCTAAAGATAAGTTTAAAATAATACCTTTAGCATTTGCAAGGCCTTTTAAGTGTTTATTTTTGTGAGATTTCCTTATTGTTCCCTTAGTTTTCCCTTTCATTATCAATTTTTTGATCGGGCCTTTAGGACTTTCATCATCTTCCTTTTGTACAATAGAACTTTTAACTCCTTTACAAAGAATAAATCCTAGTAAATTTTTAATGAAAATATATTTTGGGTTCTTCCACTTTGTTAGCTTCATCAGCAGGTAAGCCCAATTTAGGATGAAATAAGAGTTGCAAGAGACTACCAGGAATATAGTTCATCTGTAAAAGAAAGGATAACTATCTTCTCCCATTTGAAATATAATTCCTCCGTATATTGTGACTGTTCCGACAGAAAGAGCCAGCAAATCAATTTCATTATTAGCCTCTGATTTGAACGGTTTCATGTAATTTTGAAAGTAAAAAAAGAATATAAGGCAGACTATAATTATTAGCATAACACTTACCAACTGACAGTCCCAATTTATAGTAAGGAGGAACTGTATTCAGCAGTGAATGTATAGAAAGAATCAGAAACTTTCGGAAAGCACTCACAAATTCCCAGTAAAATCTTTCTTCTTTAAACCCTTGGTAGAGTATCAAGAAATAGCTTTGCATCTGTGGTTGTATGAGATTCTTTCGGTTTTTGATGAGAAAATAAAGAGCAAATCCAGGAAGACCAATCACCCAAATAATGAGTATTGGCAATGCTACAAAAATTACCCATTGTATATGGCTCCAAGACCAGCAAGTGTAGTCCAGATGATGGGTCATTCTGAAATCTCCATCGTCAATTTCTGTTCATAAGAGTAGAGATAAAGACTTTACTGTTAAAGCAGGATGGAACATAAATATCACACATATGCATGACACTATTAAGGATCTTTTTAACTGGAATAAATTATTTATAGGCATGTCAATATCTCTAGCCTTATTCTTGAAATACTGAATCCCTCTGTGGACAATCAAGATGGCACAGAAAAGAGTGGCAATAGCTAATAGCAATAAAATAGGAAAAAAGATGTACATAAACATCTTGAACAAGTAATTTGAAGGAGCAAAGAACTTTAGCTCATGATCAGTAATAAATCAGTCGAATGAAAAGAATGTCTCATCTGGTGAGGATGCCCAGCTCATGAATGAGAATAATCCAACCATACTATTTGGCAATTGCAAATTGAACAAGAAGAATGATGATACCAAATGTAAATAGTTTGTTATAATTCTAAATAAAATTGACATCTCGCTTTCCTTCTTCTTCCTGAGATTGACATAAATTAAAAGAAGCTGGAAACAAAAAGCTCCAATACAAACTGCTATCACTCTGATTGTATTAACAAATGGTTCTGGGCATTTAGCTCATCTGAAGTTTGACAATGGTTGATACTTTTTACCATCAACAATATCACAAACAGAGCACAACATTCCCCTATACCCTGTTTTTCATTTCACTGGATGTTCATTATTTGGGTGATATTCTCCAAGTCATGCATCAAAATTTAGTCATTTTATTATTGAAGAAGAATTTGTAGATTTCCTCCAATATCCTTTATCAACAGAAATCTGGTCTTCTCCATTTCAGTCAGCATTTTCCATACAATTGATGCATGAAGTGGAATTCCAGTCGAATGTGTAAGTACGCACATGACACTTCGATCACTGTTTATCTTTTGTCTGAATTTCACCAGGTTTTCAATGTCTATAAATTATATTAAGTTTTTACCTAAAAGAGACTTCAATGTAGTTGTCATATTCACCTTTCAAGTTGTTCAATACTTCATTAATAATTCTTTGGTTGATACTTTTCGATGTAAGTAAAAACTTAGTATTAATAAATCCAACTTCACCAACAAATACAATATTTTTAATCTCAGCTTTTCCATTAACAAGCCTTCCAGAATCAGAGCCTTTTGCCTTAATTCGTGGGTCTTCAGTGAGAATTTTTACAGCATTGGAACTCTCAAGATTCATGATTTGGTCATCAATGTCAACCAAATCCACGCTCAAAGTATCAGGAAAGTCTTGACCACTCGCAATATTATTTAAGTAAATTTTGTTAGTGTTTGTACCTCTCTGAATAATTTTCACTGCATAGCTAGCAATATTAGGACCATATTTAGCAGTATTATTATCATAATGAATCTTGGCCAGAATTGGTCTCACTGAGTTATAGAAAATACTTCCACCCATTTCAGCAGCTGAGTTATTAGAAAAGTATAAATCTGTGAACTCGTTCTTGCAACTTTTTCCTAATTTGCATTGGATAGAAATGCCAGCTCCAACTTTTGCTTGATTCTCCTTAAACTCTGATCCTTCAATTCTTGAAGAAGAGTCGACAAATTGGATTGCTCCTCCATTCGTAAGATTACTACTTCCACAATTTGAGAATTGAGAGTGAAGGATTAAATGGAAGGTCGATTCAAGTGCAGAAATACAGCCATCATTATTGTTAAAATTCAGATCTTCAATATTTTCCATATCAGATTTCTCAACCACTAGCGCATGTGGATGAATCTCAGTTAAACTAATGTTTCTCATATCTCTAACTATAGAATTCTTTATCATCAGAATTCCCTTATCTTCAGTAGATATATTGGTAAATTTAGAATCTACTATCAAAGTTGGCACCTCTTTACCGTCATTATTAACTCCAACTGACTTGGATTTTAGCATTTTGATCAATGAAACCTTCCCAAGGGTTATGTTTCTTACTTCTATGCCCTAAATCTGTTTAGATTCACAAAAATCCAATGGTAAAAAATCACTAAATAGTGTTCTTGTCTCTTGTTCAAGACCCATTCATAAATTTATTGAAAATAGAAACCTAATCTCTCGTAGTTCGAATAATTACTGATTTCATTTCGATATTATTACCTGCATTGAAACTTGGGAAAACCCTAAATTCATCAGTCTTCAATTTGATTCTGAGTAGTCTAGATTCTTGATCTCTGCGAAAGTAGCAACAAAGTAAAATACTTCACTAGATATTGCTTGGCAAATAGAGTTTAGAATTTTTAATTTATCAAGAGTCACATCAGACTCTATAATACTAAACAAGTCAGATGATAGTAGAGTATCTTTCACAAGAGAATTATTTATTGCTATTCTTGATCCTGTTGCCGATAAGATACCTTCCTGATTAATAAAATTACTATTGGTTATCGAAATTTGAGCCATGATCATTTTGAAACAGCTGAAGCTACCAGAATTCTCAAAAATATAGGAGTTATTAGCAACATAGTCCTTTAATGTTTGATAGACGTATCCTATATTAATTAGATATAGATTTTACCTTGTGAAAAGAAATCTGACATGATCTGTTCTTTACTAATTCCTATATTTCCAGTAACATTTGTATTATCAACAATACTCTCAAATTGAGTCGAGAATAATTCAAAAGCTGATCCTTGAAAAGCAAAGTTATTGAAAACTGTACAGTTATAGAACTCGAAGATTCCATCAGCACTCGCTTTTATAACACCTCCTGTCACAGCAAAATTGTTATAGAATGATCAGTTAAATCATTTTATATTGCTCAGTGATTCAGTTTCAAATACTCCTCCTTCAACTGAAGTGTTGTTCCAGAATACAGAATTCCTAACCGTTGCAATAGCTTTACTAGAACCTGCTGTCAAGACAGCTCCTTTCTGATAATTTCCATTAAATGAAAACTCTGAGTCAATAATCTCTATGTCTGCACCACTATAAGGAAAAGTTAGCACATAGTATTAAAATCAAGTGCCACCCAATGTTTAAAATATTTTCATGTATGCACTTAGCTAAAGTTATGGCAGCTTCTGATGCACTGAGAAAAATATTTTAGAAATACTCAATTTCTTAAATTTATTGAGTCCTTAGTTTTCCTTGCAAAGCATGATAAAACTAATCTTCCAATGGTTAAAAATCATGCAAGATGGATTCAGTATAATGTAAATTAACTAAACCAGCAGAATTTATCTTTCAGAAAGCTGGACCTATGCTTCTGTTTTCTTACGAGAAAATATTGATCAAAGATCTTGACATTCCATCATTGTGCTCTCCTTTTATATTTGTAAATGTAACATGAGTCTTTTCATAAATATCGCTAGAGTCAGAAGATTGAATAGTGATTCCTGCCTTATTTACTCCATAAACTGTCAAATTCGTGACAGTTGCGGGCTCCATCAACTGTTGACCAAAGAGGAGAAGAGAACTTTCTTTTTGGAAGGTTAGATTAGAGAAAACTATATCTTTCAAAGCAATGCTATAAGTTCCAACAGTAGACATTCTGTAAATTTTTATCACATCTAACTCCACAGGTGATTCGGAGTTCCTGTAAGTCACATTTGTAATTGTCATAAACTCTTCAGAATCAGTATAACCGTCAGGCTTTGAGACAGAAATCAAAGACAAAGTAGATTCTTCAGCTAAGATATTTTTAAATACCTTGGTGTTATTTGGAGATAATCCCTGACTTGTATAGCTACTCTGAATCAAGAAGTGGTTTCCATCATTAGCAGAATGACTTCGAAATACATGAATGTTTGTGATTGTGATATTCTTAAAAATGCCGTATGCAATAATAGGAGTATCTCCACTCATATTTAGTCCTTCGAAGTAAGCATTATCTACCTCCAAGGTGCTTTGAGATTTGGCAGTTATAGAAAAAATTGCATCTCTTTGATGAACTTGTGAGTCTATAACTTTGATATCCTTGACATGGCTTTTACAGTCTTTGAATCAAATTATTCGCACTAGCGGTGAACTCTCAGATTTACCATAGGTCAAATTTTTAAAAGTAATACCATCTATTCTCGTTCCGTTGTCACTTCTAAAATTAAGGAATTTGTTTTGAGTAGCTGTAACATTTTCAAAGTAGAGATTTTTCATATTCGCCCCCAAAACATAGGCTAGATTTATCAAAAATCCTTCAGAATTCAGAAATCGAAGACCATCGATATGGAAAATAGTTACTGGAGTAGGAAGTGCTCCAACCTGTCCATATAAATTATTCACATCATTTGATACAGTGAAATTATTCAAGTAAGCGTTTAAAGGTGATAGAATTGCACCTGTTCTCAACATAGCAAGGATGTTTGTTCCAATATTAGCACTATTCTTCCCTTCTTCGTTTCTAGATGTTGTCATATGAATGTTTGTAAAATTCCAAATGTTTGGAATACTTCTGAAACAATTTGTTTGATCAAGATAGAATATATATTGAGCAAAGATTCCTGGATATCCTGTATAGCTGTCAAAATGTCAGTCTTCAAAATGGATGTCATTTGCTGCATAGTTTCTAAATGCTGATTCTCCTCTCAGATATGCTGGTTTATCTCCAGAAGCTATTGTTGTAACATTCTTGAAATAGGTTCTTGTACCCAAATCCGACTTACTTTCTCCTCATCCGACTCCAAGTAGACTTATTCTTGAAAGATACTGTGTTTCTATGAGAATATTCTCCATATGCCAATTAAAAACAGTAGTCAGAGCCTTCATCACAGAGCCATGAATTCTAATTTCACAATCTATCATTGCTACTACTCTACTGTCCACTCTGTAAGGTTCCAAAAAGGCATGGTATGCAACTTTCCCATCATAATCAGTCGTAACCATGAAGTTCTTGATGATTAATCCTCAATGGTATGGCTTGAATACTGCACTAATCTGAGAAATCTGACTCTTTTCTACTGAATCAAAGCCATCATTCTGAAATATATTTTCTTCCAAATTGAGCTGTTTATGAGCTAAAATTATTAATTTAAATTTTACCTAGAATGCTGAACTTTGTTGGCATTGCTGGTGGGATGATTTTAGAGCCATTTTTGATTCCTACCATCCTTGCTAGACCTAAATTGAGCATATTTTCATTGTAAGTTTCTATCAAGACATGGCTCATATTCACGAAGAACGTAACACTGTTCACAAAAACAGTAGACTTTTCCATCACATAAACAGTCATATTTCTCTGATTATGACTGTGGAAGTTCATAATTTCAGAGAAGGCAGCCTCAATGTCTTTGTAGGGATGCTCTTTAGTTCCTAACTCAACAGGACTCTTGCTGTTCGCATTAACAAAGTACTCAAAGCTTCTACACACAGGTATATTTTGTAGCTGAGGATCTTGAATCAGAATCTGTCTTGTAAGATCTCACTGTGTAACTCAGGTAAGATCTTCTAAATTTAAAATTTCTTCTGGTGGACACTCAAAGCATAGACTTTGATATGCTCACAAGTCATTTCAGCTATCCTGGCAACTAATTCAAGAGCTCAAAGAGGTAGAGAAAAATTCTCCAGTAGGACAATCTTGATATTCTCACAGCTTTGTTGCTTCTATACAAAAATTTAAATTTCATGATGTCTTGGAATTTCCAAAAATTCTTGGGAATTAGTAATCAAGAAACTATGCTTCTCAGGAATTTGCAAGAGTTCAGGGAACTATAACTCTTCTAATTTCAGAGAAATTGCTACAAAATGTATATGCACTAGATTGAGATGAAAATATTAAATGATGGGTCCTATTGAAACCTAAACTCCCTACTCTATATACCTCCTCTAAAGTCTAAACTCTATGGTTTAAAAGAGAAAAATTGTTATAAATTTCTCTAAAATGGACTTAAAAGCTTTCATAGTGTCTCAGGAGAAATTTAAAAGTCATAAGTGTCTCTTAATATTTTTATAATTGATCAAGTTTGAATATTTCTTCTAATATGTCTTTCTAGTGTAATAATAATTCTAGATGTTCCAGAAGAAAGAGGGCTCTTTAGAAGCCGAGATAACTGAGAGAGGCTTAAAATCATTAAAAATAATTATTCCGAACATTAGAGAATTTTACGAGCTTTTTTAGAAATGTTAGTAAACCCAAAAAAACAGGCATAAAATTTATGGAGTTTACACATATGTTTTAAATTATTGTGAATTTTGAAGAAATAAGAATTTAGGTCTTTCCAGTATAATAAAGGAGTCAGGAGTGCATGAAAGCAACATAGAGTCCTACTAAGAATTACTCAGCACTGCAAAACATATTAGTTAGTGGTATATTAAAATTGTAGTATTTATGAAAAATTTATTTAATAACCAACGAACAAAACAGCGAACCCAGCTAGTTGTCTTCTAGCAATAATTTTGAAGTCTAAATATTCTTAGTTTGTAATTCTTTATTCAGAAGAGAGAAAAATTGCTAAAAAATAAGTCAAGAAAGTTTATTAATCTTTTATGTTTTCTCAAATAAAATTCTAAACCTACCTATTTCGAGTTCGAGAAAAAGAGAATAAGGCAGTTGAAAATACACAATAAATTTTTATGGAGAGTTTTAAGAGAGAAGGTATAGACCAAAGATCCTTGAAAGATACGCTATCCTCGCTGATAGCTAAGGTTGAGTATCTTGCCCTTTCATGTACATCAAATTAGCTTACTAATTAAAAACCTGAGGTTCTCTTAATAACTTAAAAAGAGGTTATAAAAATGACTTAAAAGATACGACTGCTTCTAATTTATTCACAACATTTATAAAGCGAGGCATTTGGCAAGTTTTGAAATAAATTACAGAAATTTGATTGTTCTATCTCATGAAGATTATTAGGTAATCGAAAAAATCTAAAACTTACCATTATAAATGTATCCTTTATTTCAGGAGATACATTCATCTAGCTTCCCACATTCTTTTCAGGATGAATGACAACTGAAACAGTGTCCATGTTGCATAAATTTTCCTGCCTCGCACTGAGTCTCTCATAAGCATCCTTGAATCAATATGAGTACCAAGAAAATTTTCAGCCAAACTGATGAATAAACTTGGAGTATTTTTAGGTTCATATTGGTATATTTCAATCCTTCTTCTCTTATTGACTTCTCATGCCAAAATAAATCTTCTCTCACAACCTGAATTGTTCCTTTACCTTTCTATATTCATCTTCAAACCTTGTTTTTAAGCAAAATCCCAAATTTCTACTAACTTTACACTAAACTATTCTCCCTTCTATTAAACCTCTTAGTAACTCAAGACCTGGCCAATGCCCTTGGGGCTACAACTCAAAAACCTTAGGCCTCTAAACCTGAGTAGCATCTATCTTTTCCTTCCTAAAATGTCAAAATCTCTCTCAAATAAGTTGCAAACCTTCTAGTTTAAATAAGTTAATTTGAATGTTACTGTTCTTAACCAGAACCCTCCTGGGTTCCTCCAGTTAATAAGGGGTTTACCTTAGGTTTAGGCTTGACCATTTTCAATTATATTATTTAGTCACGGGGTTTTGGGGTTTTGGGGTTTTGGGGTTTTGGGGTTTTGGGG